AAAATTCTGACCCGGTAAACTTGCCCAACACTGAGTCAGCCTGTTTCAAAATGCTATTGGTGACCGCTGTTGAGTGCGGGTGTTTAAATTTATCACGGTAATGATCTTTGCCGCCGTGTTTGTTGAATGCATTACACCCGAGCAGACCTCTATTGCCCACAATATTACCATCGTTAAAATTTAAATAACATGGTGAATGACATGGCGTGGAGTATTTTGCGCTCGATACTCCATTAATCACCACGGTAGTTTTGCATCCGTCAACTCCGCACACTGTCATCGGCTGACTTAATGGTATGGATTTTAATTCAACGACTGGTAGTTTACCCTCTCTTTCAAACACATGTTTGGTTTGAGTGTTATATGTTTGGCATTGGTTTATGTTATCCGCGATATTCTTCGTGATGTCGGCCAACGGTTTGGTTAATAATTGTATGATTCGTTTGGCGTTATTGAGGGATAAAGTGTCCATCACTTTGTGTGCCGGCAGTTGTTTAATGTAATTGAATAGTCGCTGACATTCGGTGACAGATCTATTAAAATTAAAAACATATTTAGTTTAATTGTTATATTATTTAAAGATAACACAAACCGATCCCAACTTTCCATATAAATTGACTTAAATCTCGGGTCAAATTCAATATTATTTGGCGGAACCGAAGCCACGAGATATCGAAAGGACTCGGAATCGAAACAATAGACTGTATTCATGTTATAAGGGACGTCCACATTTGGTGGGTTTGTCTTCATTTTGGATAATATGTTCAGTAAAGCGGGTCCGGAATCCCCGGGCATATAGTGAGTGCTCCGGGAGTTTGTGAACAGAAACAGTATATTATTTGCGGCGCTGTTATTCAATTGAGTGAACAATTGAATCAAACAATACTTAAACAATACATCAATTCTCGCTTCGTTTGGCTATAAAAGCACACAAAAGGCATTGATTTCTTTATAATTGCTAATAAAGTCTAATATATTTTGAATATTTCTATTATCCTTATCCACACCATCCGTGTCCCCAATTCCCGGCGTATCGATTATATTGAGCACAATGTTGTTGTTTTGAAATTTATAACACTTTGGGTATTGTGTGGCTGACAATGTCGTATCACTAGACATTTCATTTACATCTTGTTCACCGAATGTTACCTTAATGGGTAACCCTGTCGTTGGGTTACTCAATGTAAAACTAACCGGAATTAAACATATGGGCTGACCATTGGCCGCATCCAGACTTTCAAATGACAAATAATTAACAAATGCGTTAATGAATGTGGACTTTCCCACACCTGACTCTCCTAATAATACAATTGTTATCTCTGTTTTCTAGATTTGTAGTAAGATAATTAAAAATATTAAAATCTTTATAATATAATATTTATATATTATTACCCTAGATGTTTGGCTAGCTTTAACATATTTAACACGATCATTTGATATAATTTCCATTTTACCATTTGATAATGCTGGCTTTGGCGGTACATTTGGGCGATAAATATTTGCATAGATGGAGGAAATAGGCATTGTTTTTATATTTTGCCTAGGTTGTGGAATCGGGTTTTTCATACCCTCATTAGCTTATAAAATGCATAAATAAATAATGAATTATTTGACTATTGTTTAATAATGCTAGTATATTTATAAATATTCTATAAATGTAATAGTCGATTATATTACATAAACATAATTTAATATGCAACCTTTTGGATTTTCAGTTAATTTATATTCATTGTTAATTTTAGTTGTTTTACCATGGTGATTTTCTTTAGGTTGAATTATATTGAGGCGTCTAGATTTGTGCCAGTATTATCACGAAAATATTGATTATGATCAATTCATAAAAAAAATAATTTTAATCATAATTTTTAAATAAAAATTTTTACTGAAAAGTGAGATTACCTGGGCTTTGGTGGTGGTATGGAATGGTCATTAAAATCAAACTGACCAACTGATAAGTTGTCAGTAAATGATGTATGTGAGTAATTATTGGCCAGTTGCTCTAGATTCTTATTTATTAATTGATCGATGTTATTTGACATTATTTAAAAATAGAAACAATTATTTATGTTTATTTTTATTAATATTATAAATGATTTTCATATTATGGCTCACAATATATATATATACTATAATATAAAGATATACAAAATTAATATTCATAAACAATAATTATAAAACAAAATAATTTTAATTGTAATATTTAAGTGTAATATTAAAAACATTTATGTTAGAAATATGGTATATTATAANATGGCTCACAATATATATATATACTATAATATAAAGATATACAAAATTAATATTCATAAACAATAATTATAAAACAAAATAATTTTAATTGTAATATTTAAGTGTAATATTAAAAACATTTATGTTAGAAATATGGTATATTATAATGGTTTATATAAATGTTGTATAACTTAGGCAAAGCAAATTAATCAGCAATTCATATCACTTATAGATAATATTGTTTTTTAATAATAATTACTGTTTAAATATAATAATATTTCTGGTAGAGTAATTATTAAGAAAATTTATATTACTATCCAATATTAACTAATATATAAACCTAGTATTTATAATCTTTAAATAAATATTATTAACATCAATCAATATAAATAAAGTTTTATTTCATATTTTTTAAACAATATATTTTTAGAAATTTTGCTTTTCTAGAAATGTTAAAGTAAATATCTATTATCTAATAAGTTTTTAGCTTTGTGTGAGTTTTATATCAATGTAATAAATATTATAACTCCGAAATGCGATAAGGTAAAGTTTAAAATGTTTGGTATGAGAATAATAATTTTACATTGCTTCCATCTATCAAGTTTAAATTAAAAGAGCAGTAGATAATTTTTAAATTAGTAGCTTATTAGGCCACATTTTCTTATATTTTTCTAACATTTTGTTTAGTCTTGTTTTATTTAAAATTATTTTTGATCATGTTTAAAAAATAATCTTTATTGCAGTTATAATAATATTTTTTAAGAAATAATTCAAAATAGTTTATTAAATATATAAATAGAAATTTTCTAAATAATATTAAATTAATTATCATGTTTCAATAAAATTAAACACTAAACAATTTATCCATGCTAAATTGCACATTGGGCGGCGCGTTGAAAACCAACTCGTTAACGTCAGCATGGTGTTTCACTTTGACCACACTTAAATCATCAAGCATTTTTCTAATCTCCGGGCCCTTATGTTTGAGCAAGCGCAGTTTATCAATATGCTCGTTAACTTCCTCCAAGGTGATTGCCTCACCGCGCGATCCGCCAGTAGTCTTCAAAGCCACCCTGATCAATTGTTTGTCGGTATGGAATTTCTTTAACACCCGCTCGAGTCGTTCAATTGTGGCCCGACTGTCGGCGCCGCCCGTAAATGCTTGCCTCTCATTGGCGATCAGGTGTTTAACATAATCGCC